ACAGCTGACAATTCTAGCTTCATTCTAAAAAAATATTGAGTGATTTGGTTGAGTTTTGGAGATTTTACCACAAGTTGAAGATGGAAGACCAAACTGTGCATTTTTGCCATATTTTACTGTTTTACTTCCATAAAGGGAAGAACATGCATCAAGCTAGTGAAAAGTTGCATAAAATTTATGGTGACAATGCTCTATAAGAACGTCAGTGCCAACGATGGTTCACAAAATTCCAAGCTGGTGATTTGTTTTTTATTTTTTTTTTAAGATTTTTATTGGGGAATTGGGGGTTTGGGAACAGTGCTGGGGAATTGGGGGAAGGGAAGGGAAACAGACAAGTTGCTGTCGTTTTGCTCTTCAGTCTAGTTGTGGAGGATGTTGCTTCACTGGCCCAAGTTGGCACCATCATTGCCCTCTTCCCGGGCGAGGCAGATCAGTCACCGGCTTCTGGACGTCCACTCACTGCGGCTGCTGGCCGCTCACGCTGGCTCCTGGCTACATACAGTAGTCCATGGCAACCCACTGCCACAGGGGCTGCAGCCTAAGCCGTCGCCGGCGACTCACAGCAGCCCAGCTCCAGGTTGAGCTGTTGTTCAGCATCTTAGCTGTGGAGGGCAGTGTCACTGGCCCTCATATATGGGATCTGAACCGGGCCCTCTGGCATCCCAAGCCAGTTCTTAACCATTGTGCCACTCGACCGGCCCAGTTTTTGTTTTTTTTAATAACTTCCTTCCTTTCTTTTCTTTTTTTTAATTGGGGAATTGGCGGAGGGGAACAGTGTTGGGGAATCAGGGGAAGGGGAACAGACAAGTTGTTGTCCTTTTGTTCTTCAGTCTAGTTGTGGAGGATGTTGCTTCACTGGCCCATGTTGGTATTATCATTGCGCTCTTCCCAGGTGAGGCAGATCGGTCGTTGGCCTCCTCACGACTGCTCACAGCAGCTCTTGGCAGCTTACAGCTCACTCTGGCTGCCGGCCACACATGGTAGCTTATGGCAGCCCACTGCAGCCTATGCTGTTGTCAGCGACTCATGGCAGCCCAGCTCCAGGTAGAGCTGTTGTTCACCACCTTAGCTGTAGAGGGCAGTGTCACTGACCCTCACGTGGGATCCGAACCGGGGCCCTGCTGCTCAGAGCTGGTGTCCCAAACCAACTGCTAACCAACACACCACTCGTCTGGCCCTGGTGATTTTGATCTCAATGACACTCCTCAGTCAGGGAGGCCCACTGAGATTGATGACGACAAAATAAAGGCATTGATCGAGTCAAACTCACATTACACGACATGAGAGAGTGTAGAAACATTGAACATTCATCATTCAAGCATTCAAGACCACTTGAAGAAACTGGGATACGTAAGCAAGCTTGATATTTGGGTTCTGCATGAACTCAAAGAAGTTCATTTGACGGCGCATATAAACATCTGCAATATGCTCATTAAATGTGAGGAAAATGATCCTCTTTTGAAGTGACTGATAACTGGTGATGAGAAGTGGATTATTTACAACAACGTGGTGCGCAAGTGGTCTTGGTCCCGATGTGATGATTCGCCTCAAACAACATCAAAAGCAGACATTCATCAGAGGAAGGTTATGCTCTCAGTGTGGTGTCATGTTTTTTGAGCTCCTACCAAGGAAAGAAACAGTCAATTTGAATGTGTGCTGTCAGCAATTGGACAGTTTGAATGAATCCATCATCCAGAAACATCCAGAGCTTGTTAATTGTAAAAGAGTTGTGTTCTATCATGACAATGCAATACCACACACAAGTTTGATAAAAAATTATTAGAGCTTGGATGGGATGTGTTGCCATACCCACCATACGTGACTGACCTTGCACTGTCAGACTTCCAGTTGTTTCACTCTCTTCAAAATTCCTTACATGGTATAATGTTCAATTTAGGTGAGGCTGTAAATCAGCACCTTGTTCAGTTTTTCGCAAATAAAGACAGATCCTTCTATGAATGAGGAATTGTGAAGCTCACTGAAAGATGGCAAAAGGTTACTGAACAAAACAGGCAATATATCATTGATTGATCTTTGTTCTTTATATAAATAAATCACCTTTAAAAAAACATAGACAAAATATGTCATGACTTTTCCAACAACCCAATAACTTCCCACTGAAGAGCTGAAATCATCAATTTAAGGTACTCCCTGTTAGGCATGGCCAGAGGAGTGAGTGATGGGAGACCAAAATTGGTCTATTAGAATTCATTTGGCATGTTTGAGCTGCAGGAGGTCAGGTTAGAAAAGACCACATCTTCTCCAAATAAGAAGGGTATGGAGTTTTATAGGAGGAAGTAACAGGCTGTTCCTCTTCAAAGCATTAGGAGCAAGCAGGGAGC